GTTGTGTTTTTTTTTTTTTTTGAGAAATTCTGTGATTGCATTCATAATTCAGCCAAAAAGCAATTAGCCACAACGAGCCAATACAGACTAGCCATAAAATGGCCAATACAAAACTAGCCACAAAATGGCCAATACAAACTAGCCACAAAAGGCCATTACAATAACGAGAGATCTAACATCAAAATTAAGACAATTTGGTGTGCCTCCACTAACGATCACGCAGGATCGAACAAACTTTAGCATAGGCATCCAACTAAGAATGAAAACTTAGAACAATAAAAAAGATATAAAAATACAAATAAAATTTTCACAAAAGAGAGGTGGAAGACTCTCACAAAAGGAGAGGTGCTAACTACACAGAAAACCCAAAGAGTCTCTGCGACTTATTTCAAACATAAAGAAACTATGAAAAGGATGGTGGTGGAGATCTGACATTGAAATGCAAGTGGAGATCCGACACCGAGACACATCCACATGTGATGGGTGGAGGACAATCATAACAAAACGAAGACAAATAGGGGAAATCTTTCGTCTCTGAAAATGGGGGAAGAGAGGAGAAGGGAGAAAGAGAGAAGGGGAGAGGGGAGGAAGAAAGGAAGGAAGAGAGAGGCTTCCTCCTCTTCAAAGTAAAAACAGTCATGTGTTCGATAGCTGTTTTCTTTTAGCATGTTAATTTAGGTGCTCTTTTGGGCTTAGTTTGTATTGTTGAAATTTATCTAATGAAAGTATTCTTTGATAAATAAATAAAAGTGACATGGGTGGGATGAAAACCCTTGTTAAGAAAGGTTTAGGTTTAGATACAAAAACCAAGTCACATTTTACATGTTTTACTCTTTTTAGGTTTACATAGAGTCGCAACTTGTCACAAAGAATAGGAAATGAAGAAAATGAAAATGGAGTTGGGGTTGGGGTTTTTAGATTGTAGGCCCAAATGCCTGCTCTCAAATACCCAAATGTGTGAAATGCATTCTCACATTGGGCTCCAAAATGGGGTACCAAAAACCCGTTGCATCAGACCGTTGATATCCAATCGGACGGTTGTAATAATCTTCAGTTATTTTGATGTCCGGCCGAGGCAAAGGATAAAACGCGAGAGGAAAGAGAGAGAAAGAGGACGACAGAGAAGAACAGAGGAGAAAGGAAGAACGAAAGGAGAAGAAGACCAGAACACAAAAGACGGAAGCGGAGAAGCAAGATTGAAACACCAATCTTCATCTCCATCTGGGCTTTCATTGTTTTGGTGAAACTTTTCAATTTTTTCTTTTGCTAAAAAAAATTCTCAAACTTGTGTCATTTGCATGAAAAAATCTCATTGTAAGCTTTCTTCTTCTTACTTTTGGTGTTATTTTTCTTCAAATTATCGTCATCTCTAGTTTCTTTGTTACACAAAGCTCTCTCTTCTGTCTCCCTTTGTGTTTGGGGATAGATTTAGTTTTGTGACCATTCTGTTGTTTTGATTGCAGGGTAGTTTGAGAAGGATTTGGCTTTGGGTATTCTCTGTTACAGTCTTAGATCTTGAATCTTCAGGCTTAGGTATTATCATGTTTCTTTGGGTTTTCCCTGTTCTGGGTTTTATCAGTTGGCAAAGACAGCCCAATCTTTCTTTGGAATTTTGATTTCTAGTTAACTGTTCAAATTGATTTTTCACTTCTGGGTTGTATATGGCGGCATTCAAATTCTCAGTTTTCAATTAATATTTTTAATTTTAATGGCAGATATGGAGACGGAAGAGAGAAATCAGAGAGCGCCTAAAGCTTCAGAACCAGAATTTTTCTTGCAGTGGGGGAACAGAAAGAGACTCAGATGTGTGAGAGTCAAAGGCTCAGAAATCTCCGAGAGGCTCAATGGTGGCATCTTCAGGAAAATCACATCATCTCGGATCCATCGCTTTGCGGTCTCCGCTTCCGAAAAAGAGAACTCTCATCTTCAATCCAATCGCCTTACCAGGTGAGGAAATTTTAAATAATTCTTCTGGGCCACGCCTCCGCCCTGTTTGGTTGCTGAGAAAGTAAAGGGGGTAAAAAACGAAGAGACAATTTGAAGCCAATTTTCTTTTATTTGTGCTCATTTTTTACTCGGGTTTTATTCTATTTTTGGTTCTATTGGATCCCAAGTACTAGAATATAATTCCATACCCTTTCCCCACCCATCAAAGACGGGTTTGATAACAGGAAAGTTCAGTTTTAAAAGGATAAATTTTTTTTTTTGGTGAAAAGGCTAAAAAATTGTGGGTCTGTTTGGTTACAGGAATTCTGAGGGGACCATGCTCCGGTCAGGTGCAGGTGAGAACCGGAAGTCGTCTTCGCCGGAGAAGGAGGACAGGTACTACACCACAAGAGGATCAGTGGGTGTGGATGAGAATGGGAATGGGAAGGTTATAATGGATGGAAATAATGGAGAGGACCGGGGGCTTGTGTGGCCGAAGCTTTACATCACTTTGTCAAGCAAAGAGAAAGAGGAGGACTTTTTGGCCATGAAGGGTTGCAAACTTCCACAAAGGCCCAAGAAAAGGGCCAAACTCATCCAAAGAAGCTTACTTGTAAGTTCTTTTATTATTTATTATTTTGATTTTTTGCCTAATAAATAGATTTGAAATTGGTTTAGATATTGATTTTTGTTTTTTCATTTTTGATTTGGTGGTAGTTGGTGAGCCCTGGTGCTTGGCTCACTGATATGTGCCAAGAGAGATATGAAGTTAGGGAGAAGAAAAGTTCTAAGAAGGTACTTGGGCTGGACTTGTCTGATTTGCTGCATAAAATAATTTTCTTTCTGCTGGGTTTTGGCTGGGAGTAATAATATTTTCAATTGGGTTAATGGGTTTTCTTCCTTTGAGTGATGCAGAGACCAAGAGGATTGAAGGCTATGGGGAGTTTGGAAAGCGACTCAGAATGACAGATGCTGAATTTTGTTGAAGCAGAAGACAGTTTTCTTGATTCTGTTTTAGAAGAAGAAGATAAATGGAGTTGTTAGGCTTTTGTTAGGGTGTGCGGTGGAAAATGATGAGTTATGCTTTTGTATAGAAACTATGAGCAGTGTCTTAATCTATAATGAAAATGTATTCTAAATTTGTGGTGTTGATCTGCACGATTGTATTTTCTTACCAAAAAAGTTGTTTGCTGGATTGTGATGTGCACAGTTGTATGGACCCCAAATGTCAACTTGTGACAAGGAAGGAATAATCTGGTGGTAACTTGAATATCCGGAAAAGGTAAAAACAACATTAACAAAGTGAAATATTCAAGTACAAAGTGAAGGTAAAATGTAGTAGTTAATGTCGAGCTAGCTTTAGCTGGCAAAGCCCACACAGAGTTCCTATCCTAAGTTGAAATGAGGGGGCACTCAAATGTCCTTCAGTTCATGGTCAAATGTATGCTGGCTACCGCCGTACTAGCTGTCTTTTACTTACAGCCCAATGCCTTTCCTCATCGGGATCTCTTTTTGTTGATCTAATTGTTAAGGAATCAATTGGATATTTGTCTAATAATATATTTTCTTTTAAATACAAGCCATAGCCTAATTCGCTATTCTGACCAAACTGGCCTAATTTACGTCTGCAATATATTTTTCTTAATAATAGAAGAACTATTAAGTGCTAACAAGAAAGATTCATATAATTATTTTAATTTCATATGAAGGAAATAAATAAAATTGTTTTAGCCCGACCCCATGAATCATGACCTCTCTTAATAGGAGGGTCATGCTAGAAGGTTAAGAGGGGCATTTACCCCAGCATCTAAAGTCCAAGGTTCAATTCTCACTTTCTCAATATCACTTGAAGGTCATGGCCATCATTAATTGGTTTAATACATACCAAGATTAAAATTAGAAGATTATTTAGGAGGGATTTTGTCTTAGACAGGCCAGACTAAGGTTACGTAGGGGTTTAATAAAGTACATCAATCGTTGAGGGCTTTGCCTTTTAATTGTAACTCTAAATCCCAGTTTTATTTATGTGTTGCGGTCCAAACCACCTTGGATTTATAATTATTTATAATCTTATCATATCCAATTTTATAAGGGTGCATCTCCAACAACCTCTTTAACAGCTTTGAAAAACTCTCTCCAACAGCCTCTTCAACCTCAGTCATCAAAGCTACAACCTCTCTCTTTTCAGGATTAGTAAGTTGACTTTGGCTCTTTAAACATTTAATTTTGCTTTGGAAAAACAAAATCTACCTTGAAAATGTTAAAAATATGCATTTTTTTTCTTTTCATATAATAAATACATAAACATTTTTCACATGTTCTCATATTTTTCATTCCTTTCCTTGATATTGCATTAATTGAATTGAAGAGTGTTAGAGCAAAAATTATTCAACTAAAAGCTACTCCTATTGGAGAGTTTTATTCATGTAGGTCAACTTCAATTTGAAAAGTTTTATTTACTACTACTATTGGAGATGCTCTTAGTAATCTCAACTAAAAGCTAGGATCCGATTAATTTTGATTAACTTACAATGGGGCCCTGAATCTGTTACTTTTGTTGTTTTGCTACTATCATTTCATTTCCCAAGCATAATAATAATGTCACACTTTTGGATCAATATCCAGTCCCTTAACAGGAAGTCAACCAAATTAATTGCTAGACTACATCAACATAAACAGACGGTTCACTGGAACGTCATAAAAACACCTGAACCCAAACAAGTCAAATTCTATTCGAAAATATTATCACCTTCTCATATATTTCAAATCCCAATTGGGTTCCAACTTCTATAGCAATTTATTCTTTACACAATCTCTCAAAGAAACAAGGACAGCGGAAAGAGATGCACAGTAGGTATTCTATGTATAGAATATACAATATCACTTTTGACATTAAACAAGTATGATTTTAGAAACCATTTATATTGATCCTGTAACCATGACCCTTACTAACATGCAGACTTTCTTTTCCCAAGATTATCTCGATTCACCTCTTCCGAGTCCAGATTTCACCGTCCTCAGAGAAGGCAGTTCTGAGGTGCTGAAACATCCTACAAAGGAAAACAGTATAAGAATATCATAAAAGAAACGACTCTATGGATAACATCATAATAATACCAGCATAAAATGGAACATACGCAAAACGCCACCCTAGATCAACTCCATACATGGTAATACCTCGGACTAGGACCCTGGGCTGTACATGTTACTATCTAAGTTGAAACAATTGAAGTGCTGATGATTCTTTGCAGCAGCAACTAGAATTTGGCAACTTTTAAGAAAATATGCTAGCCAGATATAAGTTTCAAAGCCAGGGAAAGAATAGAATTTTGCAGAACTTTTGTGACTATAGATGATTAGAAAAAGATATCAAGGAATTATGATTTTTTTTTTAAAGAAAAAGAAAAAGAAAAATGAACCATAGGTTTTTTCTTAGTATGTCATCATTCAAGAACTCTTTAATTTCCATTTTCATGAGTACAGCTTACAAGTTAATAAGCATGAGAGCCGGTTTTAAACCTGGGCAGCCAATAACAGGCCAATGAGGCTTTTACCATCAGCACTAGACCTCATCTTCACTGATTTAGAAGTATAAAAACGATTGCAATTTATTCATATTCAAATATATACACTATTCCAAAATGAAGTTAAATAAACTTACTAAAGTAGCAAATAAAATGACGTCAAAAAGGATTGCAGGATAAGTTTTAGTCTTTTAGATAATTACTCTTTATTCCTCCGACAAAATTACACTAATTTCTTGGACGTTTAATAAAAAAGACATTAGTTGTAACCTTAAAGTGACTCATCCCATCCTTCAAGAATTTCAATGAGGTTTTTGAGAAAAAGGTCTAAACCAATTTATCTTTCTTTGTTAAGAACTGAAGTAGAAATAATTCTCAGTCCAAATCCAGCACCTACATTGTAAGATTAGAGTTCATTTTTCATGGATCGGATCGGATCAAAATAGAAGACTTAAGAAAAATTTCCATACTTTTTGGAACCCCAAAAAACACAACAATTGAGATTTTTGTCATTTTGGAATTCTCAAACACCTTTTCATTTCTAAAGTTTCAGATATTTTAGAAAAAAACAAACTATCAAAATCTCTGTTCAAACGAGTTCGGAAATTTCAGAAAAGTACTGAAAACTTCTTGAAATTTTCAGGCTTGAAACTACTTCAGAAAAGATATAAATTATACATCAGCAATGTGCCAGAGACTAAATCAGAAATGAGATAATCAAACTCAATCTTAACCAGAACACTGAAATCATCTAAATCATAACAAAATCATATTTGTGCATTAGAAGAAGTGACTCAAACCACAAAACTAAAAATAAGACAAACAATAAGCCCTTGGGGTTAGCCCAGGTGGTGATTGGGGGGGAATAGGTTAGGACGAGGATAGGTCAAGGGTTCGATCCCTTCCCTTCCAAAGTAACTGAAAAGAAAAAGAGAAACAATGGATGATGTAGTCATACTAATCCATCATTCAAGGGTCGACACAGGAAAATGGTGCGTTGACGCATCAGGTAGTTTCTCCGTCAAATCTTACTGCTGGTTGTTGCTCAACACCTAGCCAACCAAAACCTTTCAACAACACAACTTCATTTGGAAGACTAAGGCCCCCCCAAGGTGAAAGTTTTTGCTTGGCTTATGACTCACAGGAAGGTTAACACTTGCGACATGATTCAGAGAAGGAGACCCAGCTCCTGCCCTTGCCCTCAGTGGTGCATTCTCTGCAAGAGGGACTCAGAAACGGTTGATCATCTCTTCTTACATTGCCCTGTGACCTTTAACTTGTGGTTGCGAATGTTTAGGGAGTTTGAAATCAGCTGGGTGCTATCCAGAGATTGCTCCTCCTTTTTTCCTGATAGACAAACTCCAAGGAAATGGAAAGAAAGCTAAGGTTCTATGGGGCTGCATTGTACTGGCTGTTTTATGGGTAGTTTGATTGGAACGAAACAGATCGATCTTAGGGGGTCGACCTCTTCAGAATTTAGAGACCTTTCCTTTAGGATTATTTGGCTTGACTGGAAAGCTTCCATTCACTAGCTTTTCAGGATAAGACTGTCCATACAGGTTTTCCTGGTTAGGCGTCTTAGGGGTCTGCTTTGTTCATGATGTTTTAGTTTTTTATGTTTTCTGTTTGTCTGTTGTGGCCATCTTGACCACCCCTGCTTTTATTGTCTTATGCAATAAAATTTTGTCTCTTTTAATAACCAATCCAAACCATCTAAATCAGCACAAGACAAACCTTAAATCAATTAAATTAAATTTTGTTTTTGTTTTTGTTTTTTTTAAAGAAGGTTCTGCAAACAAACATCCCTGACAAAGATAACTTAATCATCCAATTTCCCTTTCTCTTCATGAAAGGCAAATAGTTGAAACTTGAAAGAGTGGCAGAGAAAACCATAAGAACCCTTACCCCTCCAATTCGCTCCTTCTCTTTTTCTAAAGTTTTTGTTTTATTGTCTCAATTTTTACCAGTGGCTAGGGGCTAGCAGAGAAAAGAATTTAAAATAAAAACGCCAGCCTATACAAACTCGATATTTATCACTAAAAAATTAGATAAGCGCACCTTCTTGTGTACTCTGAGATCAACTACCTTGAGGCGTCGCAGCATGAAGCATATCCACTATTAGAGTCTTCACAGCCCTAAAAAGATAAACACAGAAAAAATAAATTGAACTTCTTATAAACAATTTAAACAAACTCAAACTATGCAGCAAGAACTTTTCATAGCAATCTTCATACCAAAAACATATATTTGTAACTGGAAAAAAAAGGAAAAGAAAAAGAAACATACAATTGTCAAAACAGTACTTCATAATCAATAGTAAAGTCATTAGTCGGTCACATTTGAATTTTACATTATTTAAATAGGACTTTTCTGTGCTCCACCCTTGTACTGAAAGACTTACAGTCAGGTACCCAGTATTTGAGGGATAAGTCTCACAGTCCAGGTACAGATGACTGTGGTGACATCGAAACTTTTGGTAATCATATACTTTTAAGACTAACTTTGAGTTGCTATAACTCAATCTCATCCAAATGTTTTTCTATAAGAAACAAAGACTATATTAGATAAAGACATAAAGGTACAATATAATTGTCCACCAGCGGACAAGCAGTCCACTAACACACAAAAAGAAAAGTAACCTATCCTTTTAGTTACATTCAAATGCTCAGAAAAATGGTTATAATAGTATGAAAATTCAGCAAACTGCAGATCCCCAAATCCAAATGAAAAATGAAGAACCAAATATCTAAATCAAGGGAAGTGATTCCAACAACAAAGCTCAAAACTGCACTCTTTCGCAAAAGAAATCTTCCTCTTTTCCAAGTTTCCCTTAAAAAGTCAAACATTTCTTTCTAACCAAGCCACCCAAAAGAAATTCAAAAGAGAACAGTTTCAGAAAATTTTCGCCCTTTTATTCTCCACCAGAGGCACAAAGTTTCTCAACAAATAACGAAATACAAAATCCAGAAAAGCCAACTCAACCTCGTCTCAGAAAAAAATAATAATTCTACAAACTAACTGCAATTGGTAATGGATAAATGAATAATCAATGCCCTCCATTCCTTTTCTACACATGATACACCAAGAATGTGAAAAGAAAACATTAGGACTATTTCATTGAACATATCAAAGGTTCTAACCATCCTATGAGAAATCATCCAAACAAGAATTTCTACTTTACAAGTACCCTCAGGACTACATTACTGACCAATCATTTCGGATGGATTATTATTATGATTTTTTCAGATAGAATTTATTGAATGAACCTTCAAGAAGAATTTCCAGAAGATTTAAGTTGTCACACCCTTCTATCACCCCACAAAGGGTACAAAGAAACCTTTTCAATAAAAAATAACATACAGGGAGTTCCTTTGGAACTGAAATTTCTAATCCAATAAATAAAGGGATGAGATTGGCAAAGTGGGAATTAATATGTTATGAAGACATGACAATTTATAAAGACACGGGAAAAATAAATTCAAAGGAATTCTCAACCCATTTATCATCCCAAAACCTAATTCTCTTCCAGTCTTTCTGTTCTCTACAACCAGACAGTTTATGAGAACAAGAGTCAATTCCCAGTGAAATATACTTCCACCATGCAAAAGAAGATTGATATCTACACATGAAGGTCAGGAATAATAATACTGTGATCTATAGAAGTAAAATACTAACATTAATGATACAACCCTAGTAGAATAATCTGAAAGGAATTAGTCTGAAATTTCTTTTTATAATTTTAAGAAAAACTATTAATGATGCCATGTATGTAACTCGGGCTAGAATAGCTTCTTTGTAGTTTTTGCTTTTTTTTTTGGGGGGGACTTCGACCTGCCATTCACCAAAAAAAAATCAAGACAAACTATGATTTTCTATTAATTGAGTGCATCCTGTTGCCATCAACCATGAAAGAGAATAACTATCCTCCGCCCAATGCCAGGGTCAATAATGTCATGATCTATGCAGTACAACATTAACATAAAAGGTAAATCTGGACTTCCACAAGAAAGGAAATATTCATTTAAATGAGATGTCTCACTTTCGATCCTCTGCACGTCTAGTAAAAGGTATGCGAAGCTTGAAATTTTCCCCTTGATAACCAGCCTAAAAGAAGAATAATAAAGACAACAATATATATTTCAAAATGGAAGAAACAAATGAATTTGGTTTGGGTAAAACAGAATTAGTTTAGTATCGATAAGGGGTAAGGACTTAGAAAATAATGACTTTTTGACTGTAGAACAGTTATTCTACATTAATGGTTTCAGTTTGAATGAACTGAGGTTTATTTTTTTCCTTATGAAGTTACAATAGAATTTGAACCCAGGTTCTACCACTTCGCACCCAGCTCCATTGCCACTTGAGCTACGGGCTTTATTTAGTTTGGGAAAAACTGATTCTGTATATTATTTCGGCACAAGAAAAATGGTGTATTAAAAATATAAATGGGTTATTAAAAACAAAAAATTGGCAGTACCTTAACATTAAAACCAAGGCTATCCAAGTCCAAAATGTAGGCAAAGTCCACCTGGAGAAAAATATAAATAAGCTTGCATCAAACTATTCTCTCTCCACCTGTCTATCTCTGTGTATATATCTTGTATTATTCCAAAATACACATAAATGGACCTGAGAAATTCATGCTGCTTCCAAAGAGTCACCCTGGCATATCCAACATGTCTTAGGGCGATATTGACACCAAATGCATTGATTTAGTTTTAACCAAGGATGAAAATGTCAGCCGTGCAGATAGTATCGGCACCCCAATTTACAGATATTTCAGGGGATATCTCGATATTGTTTTTTATATCAGTGTATATTGATGTTGTTGGTTCATTCGGACCAGAATGATCATTAGATTAATTGGATATTTAGTTTGATTAAATGGATGGGTTAGTAGATGGGTATTAAATTAAGGTTTAATTTGGTTCAAATTTGACTTAATTATACATTAAAAAATCACTAAATTTTTCTGCGTTTTTAGGCTGATATCGGGAAATGTCCGTACTATCATCAAATATCGGGGAAATATCGCCGATATATGGTGTAGAAATAGGATTACCCCAAGGTATCCGTGTTGACACTTTGAAAATCTGACATATCGGCTTATATTTTCATCCTTGGTTTTACTTAACTTGAGCAAAGTTTCTATCTCCTATACTGAGAAAGAAATGAACAAAGAAATGAACAAAGAAATGAAGGAAAGAAAGAAACTCCTTTCCTGTTAGTTTTCTGACAGTTGAAATTACCGGAATCGATGTCGAGTGTTGCACAATGGCTTTCGTATCTTCAGCATGATCCCTATTCATGTGAGACTGACAAACAAAAGTTTTCAGATTCAGTTAGAAAGGACAACCAATTCAAATTAAGATAACCAGAAAACATATAATGATAAGAAATTAGTACTGCAACAGGCTTTGAAAATTGTGCAATTGGATCAACTTTTGCAGCTTTATACTCCTCATTACTGAACTCTGAAAGCAAAATAAGTAAATGTTAAGAACGACAAAAAAAGGTGAGATAAATGTAACAATATAATTAAATAAATCAATAAAATCCAGAAGAGGTGTTAAAAACAGAAGACAGCATGTAATAATTCAAAATCAAAGGCATTTGTACGCTCCTTTCCAAAGATATCTAGAGAAAGTGAAATATTTCTCTTTTGTGAGTGACAAAACTACCAACAAAAAAAACATTGAACTATAAACAATAAAAAAGTACCTCCTGATCCCAGTAAAGCTGTTGCAACCCCTGAAACGTATCGCACAACTTTTGGCTCGATGCGTATGAATTGGAAGTCACCAAAGTCAACCTTCAGATTGTATGTGATGATTTGTTACTGACTATAAACAAATCATCCATATACATGTATTATGCTAAACAAGAGTGCATAAGTTACCCAAAATGCTTTGGGATGCCTAGCCAAATATGCAGTACGTATGGCTGCTTGATCCTTCTCTGGAACCTAAATGATTGTTTAAGAAAAAAAAACATTTCAAACTGCTTGCAGCCAAATAGAGTGAGAGATAGATAGATAGATAGATAGATAGATAAAGCGCACTTTAAACACCATGCAAAATTGGTAAACAATTATTACTTACAGGAATAGCATCACCATGCAGAGTGACCACCAAATCAATCCTATCTTCAGGATCTCTAGCCACAAGCAATGAGCACTTGGGATTAAGCGTTAGGTCCTATTGAACCAAAAAAATAACAGCATGATGGGATATTATATTGTTGAGATTGGTGTGAATAACATGCTGAGAGATCCACTAAGTAATGAAGTAGCAGCTATATTTGACTTGGCCGGTTTGAATGCTTGGAAAGCTACATGTTTTTACACAAAATTATATTTCATGGATTGGAAGTTTAAAAAGTAATGATGCCATAGTCTTCCTTTCATATGAAAGAAGGTCAGTATCATTTAAAGTGAAGAAAGGTTGCCGTCTATGAATCTATATAAATATCTTGTAGCTCAGTTACAATCTATATAACATAATCAATAATACTAGGGTACTGAAGTTGTAAAATTTTACCATGATAAGAGTTTGACCAACAACTTACATCTGTATCAGCTACTAAACGTGCTGAAGATGGAAGAGGGAATCCTATTGACCACATGAATGTTTTTACAGATTCAAGAGAATAAATGCAGAGGAGCCCACAAAGTAATAAAGTAGTAGCTAGTTTTTACTTCAACTTGGTGGTTTTCTTGAAAGCTACATGTGTTACAGAAACTTATATGTAATGGAGTGGAAGTCTAAAAAGTAATACAGTCATTATCTTCCTTCCATATGAAGGACAATCAGCATCCATGCATGTGTAGAAAGGTTGCCGCTTATGCATCTGTATAACTATGCTAGCAGCTTTAGTTACAATTATACGCTTGAGTGTGAGCATTGACCAAGAGTGGAACGGATATAGGACAATGGTAATAGAAAGAAAGAAAGAAAAGAGAGATCCAGACTGACTCTGGTCTCTGGCATCTCGCACCAAAGGTATATTGGAATCACTCCCATAGAAATTTGAAAAATTCAGGCTTCCCATCGGGCTTCGGTTCACACCAAAGGCATTTCGGAGTGTTCCAGCTCAAATGAGCCGTTGCTTTTTATCTTTTTTCTCTGTTTTCTCAGTAATATAATTGTATCTTTATCAACAAAAAAAGAAAAGGACACTTAACTTACTGTTAAAGCTTACCATTGGTACACGAATCATTTAAAAGGGCCAGATTAGTAAAGAACAAACATATCTCATGGATGTAGGCAGGAATTTTTTGAACCACGTAAAACTCATGTGCATAATTTTTATTGTCTATTTATTCTCTTCCATTTGTGGTGTGATTTCTCTTTTGAATCTTGGTTTTCACTAATCCCAATTGATATAAAGAAAAAATAAAAGGCAAGGCTTAAGTTTTTGTATTTGTAAACAAAAAGTTTAACCATGTAAAGAAACACAAGGACCAGAAATATATGCGTAAAGAATTTAAGTAGGTTTACGACAACTGAGCATTCTGACTTCAACCTGAAATAAATAATATGCATAAGCAGCACATGCAAAGAACTGGACCCCACCTATTTTCTTATACACACTACTGATCAATTTGTCTTAACCACCTAAGCTAAAGAATTTCATATTTGGACTGGAAACTAGAATTTGTTTGTTGACAATGTAAGTCAAATTTGCAATCTAAAGATCATATATAACATGAAGAACGTCCAAATTTCTGGGCAAACCTTTGTATGAACTGCCAAGCTGCTAACAGCTAATATTGGAGATCCATCAGCATCACATGCAAAGTCAACCATTGATCCTGATGGATAACCTTCATGCTTCTGCACATGAAAGAAAATCAAAGAAAATGATACAAGGATAACAAAGCTGTTGCAGCAATGAAAATAAACAACAATCGACCAGAGGTTAATTATGAGATGATAAAAACATAGGAATGTTAAAAAGAAATGTATTATCTATTTCTCAACCATGTATTAGCATCAGACTTTCATAATCAGTACAAAAGGAAAAAAAAGCCATTAGAAACCCATATTCTGACGGGTTTTTGGTCCAGCATCCCCTACCATGGCGTTACTCTACCACTGAGTTAAAAGGGCTTGTTTGATTCAATTCCTGAAGCCACTATTTAATTCCGCCCAGATATGTTTGCAAGTGAAATGATTGTCTCTTCAACACAGCCGCATCCCTTTTCAGAATACAGTTGATTCACTTGGCATGGTTGTTGCGCTTAAATGGTATTTATGGTTTTTAAAATTCGGAATCATGTACCCTTTATGCAATATCTTACTGTCATTGCAAATACAATTACTTATTCTATGCACTGCTTTCATCACTGACCAGAGTCATGAATCCAATTTTTATCCAAAAAATAAAAATCATTTGAACATAACTTCATCCTTGATAACTTGTTGTGAAAGGAACACAAGTCCAATTATCCCAAATTTTGTACGAAAGAAATATGATACTCCACAAAGCCAATAACCTCAATACTGTGTATGGTTATTGAGAGAACCACCACAAAGACTAAACAATGCAAAAGGCTTCTAAACGCCTAATTACTAGAGAGAGAAAGAGACATATAGAGCTGCATCCAAATGCATTAACTAATGTTTCCTTCTGAGGGATGGTCTTTAAGACTACCCTCAATCGGTAGATTGGGACTCTTTCTTTCTCTAAGTTATAATAAGGCTTATCTTTATTCAGTTGAGAGGACTCTTAGCTTAATAGGATTGCTCTGGTAGAGTTCCAATCCAGTTGGAACATCCAACTGTAATGCATAAAGCCCCCAATGCTCATTAGACCAAGCCATAAGCCCAAATTCGAAGGTAACTAATCCTGATTCCTCATAATCTCAAAAGGAGATACTAATTGATTAGTCTATAAAATATAACATACTACTTACAAGAAGCGCATGCACTAGTCTCACAATTAAATAACTACAAAAACAGATATTCATTTAACAAAAAAGAAAACGACTGATAGACAAACCTGTGAAAAAGTAGAGAGGGTTCCACGAACACTAAGATCAAGTAGAGTTCTGATTTCCTCAACAGGGGGAAGCCGAGCAGCCTTTTCCTGTAACAATAACCACATAAAGATCAACAAAGCTAAAAACTACCTGCCCACATTCAATGTTTACAATAATAGTAATAGTACATTAGTGCCCCAAGCAAAGTTTTATGTATGTAGACCTTTTCAATATGGGAATGACATAATGTACCTGATGAGATTGAATCAACTGCAATACATTGGCATCATCTCCAGCTGAAACACTCTGATTCAAGAACACCAAACCCAATTTCAGCTTTAACTTGCAGTTTAAAAGATTTGAACTTTACTTCAATTTTTTCCCTTAATTTCTAATACCAGTTTGGCTTTGATATAATCGTATAATACAATGAACCCTTCATACATTGAATAATTAGATAGAGATATTTAAAACAATCAATAACACCAATGAAAATTGAGAAGAAAAAAAAGTTGGGCCTTTGTTTTTCCACACTTCCTAAGCAACCAATTTCTAGAATCATGAGAAAATAAGAGTACCTGATTAGTTGACTGAGCGGCAGCAGCCATGGATAGACGAGGAGTTTTTGGAGAGGAGAAGGAGGTGGAGGAATGGCGAAAGTGTAAGATGAGAGGAGAGGGAGGGCTATTACGGCCATTTAATCGGGAGAATAGGGCGGTCTGCCAAGGCGTCACCACAGTCCTCATCATTCTCTTTCTTCCCTCACCTACCTACCTAACTGTGCCTTCCTATTGTTAATTTTGTTTTTATTTCTTTCATTTCTTAATTTATTTTTTAAATAGAAAATTAAAATACAAAGTAATATCTTTGCCCCCAAAAAATAAACACAAGAACCTTGGTATGATGAAGGCGTTGTAAGTTGTAAGACCATCTCCAACCTTGTTGAGGCTAAACTCAAAATTCCATCTTTTAAAATACAACTATTTATGTATTGCTTGGACTTAAACTGTTTATTCCTCCAACCATGCAGACTCATTATTTGAGTCCGCAACTTTATTAAATTATTTAAAAATAGTTAACCTCTTTCTTTTTTTTTCAGTTAATTTTTTCAATATTATTTTTATTTCAACATTCCTAATTTAATTCTACGAACATTTTAACCTTAAAAAAATTTAAATTCTAAAACATAATATAATTTTACTTAAAAGTTAAAAAAAAAAGTAGAAACCAAAATTAATAAACTAATAACCATCAAAAGTAGTAGTTAGGTTTGAAAAAAAAAAACCCAAAAGCAGTTTCAAATGTAGCCGTTGGTTTCCAATGACTACCTTACCCTTGCGTGCCACGTGGAGTCACCAACCAGCTGGAGTGGAGTAGCCAACCCTTGTGCCAGCATTGCGTCTGATGGGTCCATTAGGTCGACTACTTCACATCGACAGTTGGTTGTGTCATGCCCATGTGTCCTATGAAAGGCGTAGTAATTGTTGGTACTCCTCTTGCCTCTCCTATAAAAGGTGGTGACCTCCTTAGCCATGGCTTGTCTTTCACTTGGGCCAAGATTTGATGTATCTAAATAGTGAACTTTGTATAGCCTTCATCTGCTGGTGCACCACCTTAGGATGGTGCCTTGCGCTTTCCTCCATGGTTCCTACTACTAGGCTTATCACTTTTCTAACTTGCCTCCTTGGGTGGTTGTTTGGCTTGCTTAGCAAACTTCTTCGTGGCAATTCGATCGTCATCCCAGAGTCCATAGCATTTCGCGGTCGCAAAGATTTCTACCAGAGTCTGGTTATGAGCAATAGTCAACTCACGATACAGGTTGTGCTCAGTTGGTAAGCCCTTCTTGAAAGCAGATGATGCAATTCAATCATCGCATCCCGCAATGTTGGCTTTCTCCGCCTTGAATCTTTTGATGTAGTCTCGGAGGGACTCATCAGGCTTCTTGCGTAGTGGTCGGCTTGTTTCTTGATTGTTTGGTAGCAAGTGTACTCCTTTGTGAAGACAAAAGCTAGTTCCTTGAAGCAGCTGATCAACCTGGATGGCAAGGTATGGAACTAATCATGAGTTGTTCCTCGTAAGGTCATGACACTTTTGAAGTGCTTCAAATGACTCTCGAGATCGGAATCCCCTTTGAAATACGTGAAAGAAGGCGTGGAGAGTCGCTTCGGTGGAGTCGCTTGCTCGATCTTGGCGGTGAATGGTGAGAAGTTCACTTTATCCACCACCTTGCACAGAGCATCTTCGAAATCTCCTCCAATCTTCAAGTCTCAAAGTCGGTCATTCACGAGCTTCTCAACATCCTCTGCCAACATGGCTTGCGGTTCACATAGTGCCTCCCATGACTCGGGCGTCGCTGGTTTACCTCCTCGTTGTCTCTATGGAGCAGATCTCCATGGCTATCCTGCCTATGAGGCATATTGGTGGACTGCGCTTGCAAGTGATCCTCTATGGCTTGTTGCCGTGAGTTGGCTCTTCCGAAGAGAGCAGGTAAGCGTCTTTCTTCCTGTATTTCATGAGGATAATTGCGAGAATGATCTCCTCGGAAGCCTAATCTCTCATGAATGCTTCCATGCAGGCCTAAGTGGGCATGAACATCGGATCGTGGGCCCAACCTCTTGTGCACGTTGGTCCTTGGACCTAATCTTGATCAGAGACTCGATCTACTTTGAGCAGGGCTTGCGGATGTATGTGACATACCAGCGTGCTGAGCAGCACGTTCTAATCCTTCTCCTTGCCTGCTTGCTCCTGCTCGACCTGCATGGGACCTCTTGAACTGCCTGACTGCGCGCTCTTCCATCCTTCTCTCTTCACCATGGGATCCAAGGGCCAAGGTCTTGGACCAAATTAATATGCTTGAGGAGCTGTCCAACCAAGTTGTTTTGGTCATCTACTCTTTGAGTGAGTTGGTTTACTTTAAGGCTAAGGTCTACTTGACGGCTTAGATATGGAAGAGAGAATTGTGTGGAGCCTAATTACATAAGGGCTAGGGTTTCGTTGGAGGTGTAGGAAGCAATCGTCAAGCGTGGCAACAAATGAGGGAACATATGAAGTTGTTCCAAGATCGGGCCGTAATTGGCAGCGGCGCCAAGACAGCCGCGAGTGGTGGCTGCACTGTGCACCTCGGCTTCGTCGTGGTGATGAGCCTCAGATCTGCCAGCAAGGCCAAGTGGCCGCAAGGATGTGGCAGCCACAGGGCCGTGAGGTGGAGCCACGGTCTCGGTCGCGGGACTACGAGACGTCTGGCTTTGGCTCATCGCAGATTGCGTCTTCGTGGCAGCCTTGCTTTGAGTACACGTATGTCCAACCCTGGTTGTGTTAGAAGGCTTTGGTTGAGTGATGAATATGAGGAAATAGATTCCTTTGATTCAAGAGCACGCATTAACTCATGCTTTCAATGAAAGCACTAACATGTTTGAGCAAAATTCCGCACGGGGAATATTCACACGTAGATTCTTTGACCCTCGAACTTCCTTCTTTTTCTTCTACCTTGATCCTTGTGAAAAAAAGTTGGAGTAAATAGACCACACTCGGGGGGAGTTGGCCAAAGTCCCTCCGATGCCTAAGTTAGTTTGATTAGACCTTGAAAAAGATACAACAATAGCTAAAGTGGTCGGAGTTTTATCTATGGTACAAGAGAACCAGGTGGCTGGAGTCGTGAGAGAGAGAGAGAGAGAGAGAGAGAGCCGAGAATGGCGTGATAGAGAGAGTTTCGACTAGGGATTTAGGATTTAGAATTACCTCATATGTGTGATGTAACCATGTATTTATAGTGCTCCTTGGTAGCTAGGGTTTGAAGAATAATTTTTATTTAATTAGGATTATTCTTACTTAAAAATAGGAGATTGAAATTAATAAAGAAATTTGGTGGAAATCTGATCCTTTGATTTAGGGAGATATTTATATATTAAATCAATTATAATTCCCCTAATTAAATAGGATTTAATTAGGATAATTAATTAACTTAAGGATTTATAATGACAGAAATTGCGGGTAAAAGTAAATGTAAATGGTGAACATCCATAATAATTATATTGATTTACAACAAAAGTTACTATTTTATCTTTCATATTAGATGATTAATTTATTTTGTTCATATAATACCAGTTTAATATATCTATCACGTAAAAATCGGATTTTCCAGTAGTCCATAATCATACCGTCAAGTTTGGTTAATTTGAAGGAAAAAACGAATTTGCACCTAATTCACTCCAATTTGATGAAATTTAACGGATAGGATCAAGAATGTACCAATCGAATTGGCAAAATAAAAGTATTTATAAAAAAAAAACAAGAAACACTGATAATAAAACCATACTAATAAACACTGATTTAATCGATAATAAATAACACATGGGTTTTCCTAATCCCAATCTAAATCTAATGTCTGTTTTTTTCGTTTTTCGGCCATCTGGGTAAATTCAAAAACTAACCAGAAGAAAAAAGAAAAGAGAATTTCACCCTAAAAAAGAAAAAGAAAATACAAGGATGGAGATCCATTCAATCAATCGGAGTGTGAATTGCTGGCGTAGGCAGAGAGATCGTCGGAAGAATCATGGGACGAATCTTCATCGTCATCATCGTCTTCGGAAGAGGATGAGGAGGAAAGATAAGGGAGGCATATGAAGGCGACCAAACGACGTCGTAGCTGGTGGAAAGGGAAGCAGAAGATGAGGTGCAGCACTTGGTGGCTACTCAATCTCTCAGGGTTGCAGGCTATGTATTGGCATATATTTGCTGATATATTTGCTACTCTCACCACCACATTGCTGTTCAACACCATCTCAGGCAGCCGCTCCTCTCTCTCTCTCTCTCTCTCTCTCTCTCTCTCTTTTTTGTTTGTTTGTTTCACGCTTTGACATTTACCACCAGAACTAAAACGTATATATAGTTTTTGTAGCATTGGATTTCTAATTAAAAAAAGTAATATATTGGTTGATAAAAATACTAACAAAATTAATGCTTTTCATCAAATTAAAATAATTTTCATATACGCAAATGATTAAAATAATTTTTCATATTTGCAAATTAGTTTGTTTCCTTTTCTTTTCCCTGGTTTGTATCATTTTTACATTTTTTTTTTCATTTTCATGTGCAATTGAAGTGTTGAGCGTTTCTGATGTGTCGGTGCAAATAGCACCTTTAGCTGGTGTTTGGAACAAAATTGACTATGGGCCAATTCTATGGCTCTGAAAAAAATATATATATGCTATTTTGGGCGTCAAACTTAGTTCTCAAAAGAAAAGGATTTGGTTGGGCAATTTTTATTAAGATTTTTATCACGAATGATCCTTGAATTTTTCACAAGTTCTCATTTGAGTCCTTACACTTTCAATTCAATCAATGTGGTGATTAGTCTTTTGGTCTAGATCGCATTCCACCACCAAAATCTTTGAAGGGATATTTTCTTCAATATACAACCTATTCACCTTGGCAGAAAGTAAAACTCAACAATGCTATATGCTCTTCTTGATGGATCCCAAATGCAAAACGTAGTTGGAGAGAATATGGTCATATTGAGTAAAAACATGAGCTTTAAGACTAAAATGAGCTATATTGAGATGGCAGTGTCCTTAAAATTGGTTATTGAAGACACATGGCCAGTTTTATTGAAAATTTTGTCGGAATGCGATAACATAAACAAAATTGATGTGTAGACAAAAAGATGAAAGACCACATTGATTGATTTGAGAGTTTGAAGAATAAAACGAGGAGTTCATAGACCAGTTGTGGATCTTCTTTCAGTTTTTAAATTCCTTTTGATTTTTCGGTAAAGTTGTTCCCATTTCAGGTCCCCTTGCTGTATTTTTTTCTTCTTTCAAACATTATTTCATAACGTCAAATTAACGTTGTGGTCTATAGCCGTTACCAATTGTAGTTAAATCTCCAAATTTTCACCAATTTGAGTCACTTCTCATCCATTCCACTACTTACAACCTTCGGTTTTGATTTAGTAAAGAGTACCCTTCTTTTGAAGGTAAATCAGGCTCACACTGAGATTATGAGAAGTATCTAAATCACAGCAGGAACTACTTGCTCCTTTTTAATGATTTGAAACTGAACATGTTTCTCTTTAAAGAACAAACTATAAGAATTAGCCACATAATGTTCTGCTAATTCGAAACTGTGGAACTCCCAATTTCTCACCCTATTATACCAGTAAACAAAAGATATTAACCAAAAATATGTACTCGCAATTAGTACCTACTAACCCACCAAACGATTGCCAGGTGGTCTTAGAGCAGGGTTGATCCAACTAATCGTGTTTTTAATGAAATCCTTTAACTCGAAAGTGACGGATTGACAGAGATCCAAGGCTAAGCAAAGAAAGGTAAATCACTCAACTTGAAGAAATCCTTTATCCTCCAAGTAGGACACTACTTGTCCTGCCAAGGCAGCAGGCTTGGGGCAAACTCCGTCTTTCTGTTCTATTTCTATCTGACAAAATAAGGGTAAACTTTTCAGTTCGATTGGCATAAATACGGAGCACTAGAAATGTCTCAGAATTAAACAATGTCAAGTAGCAGATACATGCTGACATGGCCATTAGTTTTTATACTCCACCGAATACATACCTCACAGTTCAATGGTCGTTCATATGGATCATCTATTCCAGTAAAACCTGCCATCAGAAAAAAAAAAAAACTTGAAAATTGGCTGAAAGAAACCAAAGACATAAGACGAAGGTGTTAATGAGAAAGATTTGGCTGCATGTACGTGCACTAATGCTCATTGAACTAATGAAGATTGATGACTGTAATACAGTTCTGGCATCAAACAGGTTAGGGAGTAAAAGAAAATGATATTGCATGCTCTGTGTTAGACATTTGGAGGGCCAAAGAAAAAAAAGGCACAGTAAAATAAGTATCAGAAGCCAGAACTCACTCTAACCTTCCCGGACCACCCATTTGAGTATTATAATGTTACCTTTGCACTCACAAATGCATAGTACAGGAAGCTAATAAATGAGTTGCCCTCCTTGTAAGGAACCAAATAAAATGGCATTTCTTCTATATGAATATTGAACTTAGTGATTTCCATGTAAAAACACATCAGTCGTCTTTTGATACAAACCATATTAATATTGGGCTTCTATATTTGTTTTTATTTATATTTATTTCCTTTATAAAATGGGACATAGAACAGTCCATGGAAAATTCAAAACCACACCTTTAATCTTTCCAGCACGTGCAAGCTTGTAAAGTCCTTTTGCATCTCTTGACTCACATAATTCTAGGGGCATGTTCATGAAAACCTGTTGACATGGATAAAATAAAAATAGATCTTCATGGTTTAAAATAGGTGGACCTTATACCAGATTATAAGAATAAGAGCCATATGGAGTCTTGCCTCAATAAAATTTGGTTCTGGTAACATTGCACGGCAAGCATCACGATCTTTCCTATAAGGAGATATCAGACTAGCAATACAGATCAATCCAGCATCCGCAAACAGTTTTGCTACCTCCCCTACATTGAAAACTTAATAGCTTACTTGCGTTGTTATTAATAGAGATAAAATAGATGCCATATTCAAATCTGACACACTATATTTAACTTTAATAACAGAAAATCCAGAATACAGTCGTTGTAGCACTGAATAATCTTTAAGAAAGAATTAAAAGATTTAAAATTCCAATCCTAGCTATGCTTGTTCAAATTTAGGGGTTCATCAACAACTATTTAGCACTAAATGTAAATGACAGCAATTTTTTTATTGGGAACGAAACAATATAAATGATAACAATTAGACAGGAAGATCACATGTCCATCATTTGGGTGAGCTATAAACCTGCCTTTAATGATACACACACTTAGTGCCCTCATGCATACTACACACACCCAATTGTGCATGCGCAACACGGGCACTGAAATCCTGATTCAAAAAGTTAAGCATGCCAGAATAGGTTTGGCCCTGCCAAAACTACATTAAATTAAATTAAATAAACATGCTCAGTGTGGGCTATATCCAATATCAGCTTACATGTCTTATGTGTTATCCAAGATTAATTTAATTTACGTTTCCTTATCAGAATTCTTTGTTGTCAAGAAAAACATACCAACTCTGCGTATATTTTCAGCCCTGTCTTCTGCTTTGAAACCAAGATCCTTGTTCAGACCATGCCGAAGGTTGTCTCCATCAAGGATGTATGACAGCTTTCCCTTGGAGTGCAGTTCTCTACTTAGTGAGCATGCCAGTGTACTTTTCCCTGATTCCAGAAAAGAGTTGAAGGCATTTAGTAAATGCATAGACTGGAGTGAATGATGAAAGAAATTAAAGTTCTTGTGATTTTCCTCTTGTGTGTGAAGTGTTAGTTGACTTAGAGTTAGTCCAGAAGCCTTGGTGTGATGCGAAAGGCCGGTGTGTTCTGAGGCTTCTTCCAATCTCTCTCTAGGAAGGGTCCAAGACATAATTGGCGTGATTGTAAAGTCTGAAATGAGTTCGGATCTCTCCTCTCTTCCTTTCCCTTACTCTGCCATACATTCATCATTCTCTCTTCTCTCATCTCTCTCCCCTCTCTTTGATTTTCTTCTTTTGGGCAGAAAACGATAAACAAAAACATTACCAAACTGGGCATTAGAATTTTAATCATTAAAAACATTTCCGATTATTATGAAAGTTAGAAATGTAGATATCGACCAATAGCTGGACCAGTGACCTACTTGGGGGTTCGCATCCAATTGAAGCATGCAACTCTTATTGGCCCATATACTCACTACAGATAAAAAGCCATCAGAACTTCTCCCTACCTTGACAACATTCCATTAGTCCTCCTTTTGCAGCTCCTTAAACTACAAAACTGCGCTTCGTTTTGTGGATTTGGACGTTCAGTCATTTGCCTCCATTGTGCATTGCCGAACCATCTCTAACAACTTTCTCTTGTTACCTCCACCTTCTCGAGAAAGCACATTAAATTTCTTATTCAGTCTGACGATCTTCACTGGCTGTTCATTCCTTCAGCAACATGATTATAGATATGCTCATTCTAAATACTTGCAGTTCGATGTTCAATTACCATAAAGCATATTGGTCTACTAGCTACATAGTTCGAATTTGTGCAGATTTTGAACTACACCTAAATCACCACTTTCCATTTCATATGCACTACAATAAGCAATGCCCACTACGCTCACTGCTTATGGATTGATCAATCCAAAATAACCAACAGTATGTTTTCTCTGGTACCTTATATACTCCACACCTTATTTTCAACAAAAAGAATACTCTAACTATCAGAACCTTATTTATTAAAGAGCACGAAACACATGCTCCCAAACGATGAAGAACATTAGCAGAATATTGTTTTTCTGACCATTCACGCTACTCTAAAAGGGATACTCTGACTTTCAGAGCCACAGAGGAGCCTCGTTAAAGAATAATGCCTCAATACATTTAAATTCCAAAGGTCCCTCTAGAGACATGATAAAACTGGGAAGATTTATCAATCCATTCATGCTATTGCAATACAATGTAAGCAATTCCATCTTATCACCGTAGTCTAGTACCAGTGACGAACCAATGGAAATGATAAATATCCAATGACAAATAGACTTAGGACATCAAGAGGTGTTAATCCTTTCCACCATAGGGGCTTAGGAGGGAGGTTTAAATATGATCTAAACACATGTTAAGTCCACACACTTGCAATTAACCACGCTGAGAATTTTACGATTATACCAAATAATGGTACAGATATCATATTAGCAAATTGCCATGACAGGCAAAAAACAAAATCCAGTCCCTTAACAGTGTTCTTGTACAAATGTCTGATGAAAATCATTCATGAAGACAAAAAACCACAAAATAAAAAGATAAAGTAGAAAGAAACGTAAGCTAATGAAAAGAAAGATTTATTCTCATGTGTAGCTGTATTTAGTTCCATAAAAGAAAAAAATAGATATACAAGTCAGTTAAAAAAGAACCTGATCCACTGAGACCCGTAATCCATACAACACATCCCTTTTGGTTGAGTAGTTTCTGCCTTTCAACCTTCCCAACAGGACATTCTTGCCAAAATATATTTGTTGAATTGTTCAGAGTAGACATCAGATAATATTTTTCTGTTTCATTAAAACAATAAAATCATTGAAGGGAAACCAGAAATGTACTCAACACATTCAATATTTACAATGAGCAAAAAACAAAATCTTACTAACAAACAATTTGTTTAAGTTACAATTTAACGTTTAAAAAAAAAAGGTTCTTCTAGATTTTGGATGAAGTAATGGTGATAAGTTCAGCTAATTGCAAAACAAAGTTGATGTAAGGAACACCAATTGTGTCATAGTTGATTGTTGGGTTCTTGCTTGCTTCATGGTAAATTTTATTTTAAACAAAAGTTACTAATAGCCTTGTAAGAATACAAAGTTGTTGACAAGTAGTCCACTACATTCAACAGAAAAGACATAATTTCCTATTAAAAAAACCCAACCAACATAAATACAAAACCATGATGAAGCCTATTCAAATGCGGTCCTCCAAGCTGCAACAACAAAGAAAGAGATATATCCTGAAACCCAGGCAAAAACCGAAGCCAAATGAAGTCCAAAATCTTACACTAGGACAAAGACTTTCCTCCTCGTCTCCTATATAAATTCATAAAAGCGTTTTGATTGCTCTACAGTGATGATGATCAACCTTTATTACTACTTTTTGCTTGCTTGTTAGACTTGGGAGTTACCGCTAACAGTGATAGAGATCACAATGTAATCCAAACTCCTCACTCCAGGCCCCCAGTATGCAAATTTTCTAAAATTTCATTTGAACAAGAAAATGACCAAACAATCAAATATTTCAAGAGCAACTGATTGTCTGTGAAAAAACCCAATGTACCATTAACCAAAATCCATATTGAACAACAAAAACAACAACAACAACAACAAAAGATCACGATCATCAGACCTTAACAGACAGAACCTACATTACAACCATATTACAACTATAAATTCAGCAAGACCCATCTAGAAAACCAAGAAGCAGATAAAGATATATTGAAAGAGATGCACAATACCTGACACGTGTTTGCTTATTTGCCCGAGAGAAAAACAAGATGGCCGAGGCTAGGGAGGGCCAAACCCAAAAGCTAAAAGTGTTATACTAGAGAAGAGAGAGGAGGGCAAAGCCAAAAATAGAAGAAGCGAGGAGAAGAAGAAGGGCATGGAAATGGAAATGGCCACCCATGCCCCTGTTTTCAAGGCATCTTGTTTGGTTTTTGCCTTTTTGGGTTTTTTTGGGACTCGGAATGAATCTGGACGCATCCTCCTCCTCCATTGCTAAATTTGCTACGACGTAGAAATCACTCACCCCCTCACTAATTTCCTGTTACCACGTGCGATGCGACCGTTTAGCATTTATATAGTAGTCACTGCTCCCACGAATAGTAGTCGGATGTAAAAGTGTCTTGCCTTCGCTGACGTGGTATTAGAGGTGTCAAAAGGGCCGTGCCGGGCCGGCCCGTCTCATTTAAACTCGTACTTTTAACATTTTCGTGCCGTGCCGGGCCGATTCATTTAATTTATTGGGCCGTACCATGCCGGCCCATTTAATAAAATCATTGATCCCGGCCCGGCCCAAAGCCCATGTCCATATTCAAACGGACCGGGCCGGGCTTGTGCCGTGCCCGTGCTCGTGCTCGTGCCATACTCGGGCCCAAGAACCAACCCATTTAATTTGATTTTTTTTCACTTGATTTGGCCCATTTAATAAAATCATTGATCCCGGCCCGGCCCAAAGCCCATGTCTATATTCAAACGGACCGGGCCGGGCTTGTGTTGTGCCCGTGCTCGTGCCATACTCGGGCCCAAGAACCAACCCATTTAATTTGATTTTTTTTCACTTGATTTTTTTTTTCACTAGATAATTCAAATTATAAACATTAAAAATATCATTTGAGGCAAGAAATTATGAATTATTTGAAAACATTAATCAATCAAACATCCAAACAATATGAAGGGGCGGAGGGCAAAAAGTGTCCGACTCCACAAAGTCCACTTGAACTTTTCATCTTTAAACAACTTATTATTTTATATGTGAAGAAATGTTTTGCTTTGATTATAGGAGAAATGTATATGTCATATGTATTGATTAGATATCAAGTCCAATGTTGTTTAATTAATTTGTAGTTGATATGTTTAATTAACTAAGGACCCAAGTAATTTCCCTAAAATGAAAGACATCAAATATATGTTTATGAATATATATTTTTTTAAACATATAAACAATGACATTATATGTCAAATTATTGCATTTTTACTTTTTGAGAAAAAAAAAAAAAAGCTAAATGGACCGTGCTTGGGCTCGTGCCTGGGCTCATGCCGTGCTTGAAGCGGGCTCGGGCCAAGCCCGGTCCATGTCGGGCCATGGGCTGGCCCGGTCCATTGGACCTATTTCTTGATCCCGGCCCTGCCCGGCCCAAATTTTCGTGCCGTGCTGAGCACGGCCCATTAATATTCGTGCTCGTGCCGTGCCGTGCCTCATTTAAACGGGTTGGGCTCGTGCCGTGCTGGGCCGGCCCGTCCCGTTTGACACCTCTACGTGGTATCATCGTGGCGTTGGGTCACTGGACAATTGGGTGAGTCAGTCGTCCACTTTGGCGATGTTGTTTTGTCAAGATGGTGACGTAGATTTCTCTATGAAATTTCCGTCTCATTACGTTTTTTAAAATTATTTTTGTACCGAGAAGAGCTAATTTGAAATTTTTAACATTCGAGAATGTGTCTCTCTCAACAACAACAATTAAAAAAAAAAGAAAAAAAAAGAAATTTGAGATTGCGTCTAAAAAATAGAATAATAAATATAAGAGAAATTCTATATGAACCCCATTATTTGCTTTTTACACCCCATAATTTTTGTACACCCCACTGAATTTAAATAAAATTTCAAATTACTAACTATACCCCATGTTTTCCCCTAAATTGCCCTCATGAACCCCATTCCCTAACTCACTGTGTAAACCCTATCCCATCTCAGATACCACCCATTGAAAACCCTCTTCCCTTTCAGACACACCCCATCTGATATCAAATCCCACCACATCCCATATCAAGCCCCACCTCATCGAAAATTCCCTCCTCTTGCAGACACACCCCATCAAATTTACAACAAGCTCCACCGCACACCTCATCCCCTTTGAAACAAAGCCATCGCACAACTCATCTCTGCAAACCCAAACCCATCGCACAACCCATCATTGAAACAGAGTCATCACACCCCACTGTAAGACATTGCATCATCTTAATCCACTTTGAGATGGTCTTCTAATCACATGAGGTTTGCAGCTTTGGTGTTAGTCAAGAAATAGGATTAGAGCAGATCTGCAGTTCTAGTTAAAGTGCAATATTAATTGGAAAACTAGAACCTTGAGAATTCCTAATCACATATGGATTGAAACACTTAATTCTAATGCAATCAGGATAGGATCAGGTATTCTTCGATGGGCAAAATACCCGAACTAAATGCATATAAATAGCAGTCCCTTCCCAAGCAGTTAATCACTCACTCGAAAGCAATCTCACCCCATCCAGAGAAAGAGATACAAAAACTGCATAGGGAAGAAGGCTTCTATACGATTCAAAGCTATCATGTCAGACCAAGATCAGTATTTAAGACTCAAAGACAAGAAAGAACTTACATGTGGTATCAGAGCACTAGGTCTTGTTCTTAAATCTAAAATTGTTTTGCCAATTTTAAAATCTTCATAAAGAATCTGTATTGTTTTTAAAATCTGCATAAATTTTCTGATCAATGAGTCATATTAGCATGTAGATTAAAAATTGCATATCTTATTTGATAAGGTATGATCTAGAGTATAAAGTATCATACTCGATCATGCTTGAAAGGCTATTGATCAAAGGTTAAAATTGCAGCTGCATAAGTTAGGCGAGCCATAGCAGCCTAAACTGTTGCAGATATAGTTTAAATCAATAGATTGATCAAAATTTGCATCACAGTTCATAGCCTTTTATATTCTTCTCGATCCAAAGACAGGAAGAGTATGAATTGATGTTAACTGTGGTGGAAAAACATGGATAAAAGGTTTCACACAACCAAACGAGAAAGCTTTGATCCAAAGATTGAAGTTTTCTTGTGCAGGGTGTTGTGTTAAACCATAATAATCCAGTGTTTTGGAAACATGTTTGATTCATGATCCAAAGATATGAATTAATAATGTTTGAATACAGTTTTGGGGACAGTTTTATTTATTTAATTGTGATTTACAGTGAATACCTCAAGCTATCATTCCATCGAAACATTGACTGGAACAAACTACTCCAAGTGGAAACAAGATCTGGCGATATCTCTAGGATTATTGGATTATGACTATGTTCTCAAGGAAACTCCTCTTCAAGCACTTGCCACTGATGCTTATGCAAAAATCAAGGCTCGGTATGTCAAATGGGAAAAAGCTAACAGGATGACCATGTTAATCATGCAGAGGTCTATGACATCTTCTGTCAAAGGCAGCATTTCAAAAACTGAAAGTGCAAAGGAGTATTATGAGTTCATAGCTCAGAGGTTCAAAGTTTCTGAAAAATCTACCAAGAGCTCACTACTGAACAAACTGACTGACATGAAGTATGATGTAGGATATGGGTGAATTGAGTATTTAGGTAGTTTAGCGGAAGCGAAAACAATGGAAAACAGAAAATAGAACAAAAGGGATAGGTCTGGAATCACTCCAGGGGTTTGGCTTCACACCAGGGGTTTGGCTTCACACCAAGTAGTCTCCAATCTCTAGAAAATAAGCTTTTCTTTATATCTCAACAACTGAATTTTAAAAGAACTACATAGGGGGTATTTATAGCAAACTAAAACCTAGAGATAATAGGATAAAAATCCCTTACTAAAAAGAAATCCTAATCCACAAAGGAACCAATCCAAATAAACTAGGAAACTTAAATCAAATCCTACTAAAATTGGAAACTAAAACTTAGTAAAATCTGGAAAATCTAGAAATCCTAGTGAAATCTGGAATCTGGAAAAAATAGCTTTCCTATTGAAATATGGAAACTAAGATTTCACCCCAACCATAATGATAATGTTGGATTGGCTGATCGTTTCTTCCTTCTTTGGTAAACCTTAAAAGGTTTGTCATAGATGTCCGCATCAATTCCCTCGGGCTAAAAAGAGCTTGACTCCGGCGAGATAAAACTGTAGTAACGCTCAAGAATGTCGGGATCAATGCGTTGTAGGTCCTCCTGTGTAATCCAAGTACTATCTGAATTTGGTCTATTCTTCCACTTGACTAGGAACTTATGATATCCACCTTGTCTTGTAGAAACAATCTGATCGTCCAAAATATCTTCAACAATATCCTTTTCTTTAGGCCCAGGGCGCGGTAAGAGTGGGGTTAGAGAAGAAAAATCAGATATAGAAAATGGATCTGGATTCTCATCAGAAAGAGTATTTTCATAAGCAGCAAGTTCCTTAAATGCCGCCAAATCTTCAATATTAAAAATTGGGCTGATCCCCATTTCAGGAGGAAGTTCCAACATATAGGCATTTGAGCCTAATCGCTTCAAAACTTGAAAAGGCCCCATGCTACGAGCTTGCAGCTTCTTTGCAATTCCTTGAGGAAATCGTTCTGGCTTGATTCGAACCATAACAAAATCGCTGACTGAAAATTCCTTCAATCTGCGATGAACATCAGCATCCCTTTTATATGTGGCATTGCTATTGTTAATCCTTTGAATAATCTCAGCATGTAAGTCATGAATATGGCGTGCAAATTCATTGGCAGATGCAGATGATCTATGCGAAGCTGACATGGGCATGAGGTCTATAGGAGCCCTAAGTTTATGACCATACACAACTTCAAACGGACTCATCCCAATTTTTCTGTTGACTGAATTATTATAAGCAAACTCCACAATAGGCAACATAGAATCCCATGACTTAATGTGCTCACCAACCAAACATCGCAACAAATTGCCCAAACTTCGGTTAACCACCTCGGTTTGACCATCTGTCTGTGGATGATAAGCGGAAGAAAACTGGAGTTTAGTACTCATCATGCGCCATAAAGTCTTCCAAAAATAACTCATGAATCGAACATCACGATCCGACACTATAGTCTTAGGCACACCATGCAAACGAACCACGTCATCCATGAAAAGTTTAGCCACTTTAGAAGCATCGAATGTCTTGGAGCAAGGGATGAAATGGGCCATTTTGGAGAAACGGTCCACAACCACAAAGATAGAATCGTGCTTCCTTAGTGTCGTAGGTAGTCCAAGTACAAAATCCATACTGATATCTTGCCATGGGACATGGGGTACTGGTAATGGAGTGTACAACCCTGTATTTTGCTTCTTATGTTTCGCAAGTTGACAAGTACGACACCGTTCCACAATCTTAGCAACATCACGTTTGAGACTTGGCCAATAAAATCTGTCTTCCACAAGAGCAATGGTTTTGTCTCTCCCAAAATGACCAGCTACGCCACCAGCATGCAATTCCAAAACCAGAAAGTCTCGTATTGATGTGCGGGGAACGCAAAGTTTATTACCCTTAAAGAGAAAACCATCTTGTAAAACAAAGTCATTACTTCTGGATTTGTCTTCCGAAAGTGCAGCATACATTTTCCCAAAATCTGGACATATCGAATAGTCTTCTTTCAATCTTTCAAATTCGGTAACTTCCACACTCATAGTACGTATAAGAGAAACTTTACGACTAAGAGCATCTGCTGGTTTATTCTCCACACCAGCTTTATGTTTCAACACAAATGTGTACTCTTGAAGGAACTCAACCCACTTTGCATGGCGGGAATTCAATTTCTTTTGTGAACCCAAATATCGAAGAGCCTCATGATCTGAAAATAAAACAAATTCCTGTGGTAACAAATAATGTCTCTAATGTCTCAAAGCTTGAACAACTGCATAAAACTCTTTGTCATAGGTAGAGTATTTTTGCTTGGCTTCATTCAATTTCTCGCTGAAATAAGCTACTGGATGCCCTTCTTGATTCAATACTCCGCCTATTCCTACCCCTGACGCGTCACAAGCTACCTCAAAAGGCTTTAAGAAATCTGGAAGGTGCATTATTGGAGCCTCAACCATTTTAGCCTTAATCTCTTTGAACGCTTTTGCAGCAGCATTAGACCAGTGGAATTCTCCCTTCTTCATGCAATCCGTGAGAGGAGCTGTGATTGAACTAAACCCACGAATAAAACGACGATAGAATGTGGCCAATCCATGAAAACTACGCACTTCGTGGATATTTGTCGGTTCTGGCCAACTAACAATAGCCTTTACTTTTTCCGGATCACCTTTCATGCCTTCCGACGATACAACAAACCCCAAGAAGATAACTTCACTAGTCATGAACGAGCACTTCTTAAGGTTAGCAAACAGCTTCTCTGCTCGAAGAACCGTGCAGACTTGCTCTAGATGGCTAAGGTGTTGCTCTTGTGAGGTGCTATAGATTAAGATATCATCAAAATAAACAACCAAGAACTTACCCATGAATGGCCTCAAAATTTGTGTCATAACTCTCATGAAAGTGCTCGGCGCGTTGGTTAGTCCAAAAGGCATAACTAACCATTCATATAGGGCGTCTTTTGTTTTGAAGGCTGTCTTCCACTCATCTCCTGGCCGAACACGAATCTGGTGATATCCACTTTTCAAATCTATCTTGGAAAAGATAGTGGCACCGGTCATCATATCCAGCATGTCATCGAGCTTTGGTATGGGAAATCGATATTTGACTATAATCTTGTTGATAGCCCGGCTATCTATACACATTCTCCACGTGCCATCTTTCTTGGGTGTTAGTAGGGCGGGTACGGCACAAGGACTAAGGCTCTCTCAAATAAATCCTTTAGCAAGAAGTTCATCAACCTGTCGCTTCAACTCTGCATGTTCTGTGGGATTCATTCGATAGTGAGGTAAATTGGGCAATGTTGACCCAGGAACAAGATCAATCGCATGTTGAATGTCTCGGAGAGGAGGAAGTTCATTCAGGAGATCGTCGGGGAACACGTCCTGATACTCTTCTAAAATTGGTCTCACCGTGGAAGGCACTTCCATATTAGCGAAACGCACTGATTCCCTTACGGCTAGAACATATATGGGGGCATCTTCTACTTCTTTAATAAATTCTTTTAAGGTAATGATGTGCAGAGCTTTGGATTTGCTTACGTGACTCTTCTCCTCCTTGCTTGGTGTAGACTTGGGTTGAAGTGGCTTCAAAGTGACTTTCTTCCCTTTATGGATGAATGAACATATGTTTTCTCGGCCTAAGATGGTCACGTTGTGATCGTATATCCAAGGCCTTCCCAAGAGAATATGACCCACGTCCATTGGCACCACATCACACCAAATATGATCCTTGTAGGATGAAAACTGAATAAGAACTTGACATCGTTGGGTAACAGGGATTGAAGAAGTGTTGTAATCCATGCTACTCTGTATGGTTCAGGATGCTTTTCGGTCAATAAGCCAAGACGAGAGACAGTTAGTGTTGATACAACATTGATACAACTGCCATTATCTATGATCACTTTCCAATCTTTATCACCGGACTTGATGTAAGTGTGGAAAATGGAAGTCCTACGCCAATCCTCAGTTTCCTTCCTAGGTTGAGCCAAAGTACATCTTACTACTGCTAATGTTGGATGAGGGACTTCAAGGTCGTTGCCACAATCTTCAACAGGTTGCTAGGGCTCATAAATATCTTCCTCAAAATCGCCTTGATCGTCAGTTTGTTCGTCAATGTTTGTGATCAGACTTCTTGTTGTCTCCTTCGTTGGGCATTGGACAGCAAAGTGTCCAAAACCTTGGCATTTATAACATCTTTGTGTTCCACCATTACGTGTATCCACTAGTGCTCCTTTTCCTTTGTCCACTTTAGCTGAATTTGCTGTAGTAAAACCCTTAGACGTTGTATTAGGCTTTGTCCCAGATGTACCAGCACGAAAATCAGATTTATAAGGATCAATCCGCTTGACTACGTTGGAGGATTTTAAATACTTCTCTAATTCTTGTACTATCTGAAAAATCTTCTCTAAGGTATTAACAGTATGAGGAATTAATTCCCTTTGAAGTTCTGGACGAAGTCCTGATCAGAACCGAGAAAGAGTCATCCTTCGATTTTCCGCTTCAACCTTTCTTTCATCTCACCCCCAATGGATGATTGGTTCTTCACCAGCTCTCTCTAGTTGTGTTTCAACATTGGTCCAAAACAATCCAGCTTGACCCACCAATTTTATCTTAGCAAATCTCACCCTTCGAGCTTCAGACATGTCATGCCACTCAAAGTAGCGATCCAGGGTGGCTAACCAGTAGAGGAGTGCTTTAGGATTTAGCTCACCATCAAAATTTGGAGCGTCAACTTTCACTGATCTCATCACCCTTTCATCAGGGTCTTGCTCATAGCCACGATGAAAATTGTGTCTCTCTGCGTCTCGATCATTCCTTCTATCATGACGTTGTCGCTCATGATTCCTCTCTTCTCCATTCACACTTGCTTCATCATGTTGGTTAGCTGTTTCTAAGTCTGCAAGGCGACGTTCCACGAGTCTAGATCTAGCGTCCGAATCTGCTACTTGCTTTGATAGGTTTTCCATCATCTGAACAAGACGTTCAAAGTCCGTCG